AAATTGTCGTCCCTGATGCTGTACATAGATTTCCTGTAAGTATGTGTTGAGCAGCTTGAGGATGGGGATATGTAATAGATATTAATATAAAAAAATGTTCTTTTGACGTCATATTAACCGTTTGACTTTCAGCATTCTCCCCTTGACGAATAAAATAGTCTGGCGGTATACAGAGTAAAATAATAAAGTAGGGCGCATCAGAGTGCATTGCTACATAAACGCTTAATTACTCATTCAATTTTTCTTGCAGAACCATAATATGTGTCTTGCTTCAATTCTGAAGTATAGCCCGAAGACTATTCAAAGGTATGCATGCTAAAAGCCTGATTTATACCATCAAAGTTCTGTGATCACAGTAGGAATTTGCCCAGGTAAATTCTACGTTTTGAATGATTTGTTAAAATTTTTAAAGGGAAATGACTCATTGTTTAAAACTGATTCAGTTCCCTTTAACATTTCTTGCAAATCCTTCAAAACGTAGAATGTACCTGCTCAAAATTCCTACTGTGATAACAGGAACTTTGATAATGTAAACCAGCTGTCACAGTACGTTACTATCGAGTATCGAAGGTCTCCCAGGCGGATCTGTGTTCCGTTGGAAATGTTTCCTTTATTTCCTTGTTCTCCTCAAAAATTTCATCATGTTTCCTTGTTTCCCAGCTTACATGTTCCCTTTTCTGTGATTTTTGGTTTTGTTCATGTTTCCCAATGCAAATTATACCTTGTTCTATAAAACCCCTGGGAGACCCTCACTATCACAGAATCATCCTTAGAACTAAAAACATTCTGGCCATGCAGAGGTCACTGAAAAATTCATTGTTTCGGTCGGAATTCAAAATTTCATTTCATTGACCCACAGGGTGACACTGAATATGTTCTAGATCTAGACATTCATGTCAAAATGATTGCTTATTATGTATCACTGAATATGTTCTAGACATTCACGTCAAATGATTGCTTATTATGTATCACTGAATATTTTCTAGACATTCACGTCGAAATGATTGCTTATTATGTAACACTGAATATCTTCTAGAATCAAAGCTCTGATCAAAGGACGAGATGCGTTCATTGTCCCTGGCGTTCTTCATCAAGATGACTTGTATCTATCTGATTTACTAGGTAACACTTTAATTATGTATCAAGGTGCAATGATGCAAAATATTTAGTCGTACCCTGACTAGTACTCCACTGGCTGGTACTTGAGCTGGTACAAACTTAAGACTCAAGGTGTATGTCCTTAGTCTTTAAAATGAAGTACATAAGGTACAGGTTTCTGAAATATATCTTAATATAACCAGCAACTAGGGATTATAAATAAGGAGCACAATTGCATGTACAATCAGTACAATCCACTCCAGTGGATTTAAAGTCTGCGTGTCAGACTTTACACATATTTCGACTAAATTATGGTTTGAAATAACTTGGGCTTGGAAACGTCATATGGTACAAGCAAAAAGTTAAGTACGCAGATAGCAAGAGCAGTACGTACATGCATGCACGTTCGTGGCTGAAACTGAACAGATGTACCAGTTCGTCGTATTGGCATATCTTGACAATGTTTTTGTCCATATAAACCCACTATTTCTTCAGAACGAGTTTCCAGACCAGGCGGGTTGAAAACGCCCTACCCGGCCACTCCTACAGTGTATAGCCGGGATCATATAACCAGACCCTCAGAATCGTATTCTCCTATTTAGATATACCAATCCTAAGTCCAGATCCAGATATAGCCAACTTGTACGCGTCCAAGTCTGGTACGAAGAGAATTTTCCTTGCTGCTAAAGTAGATATTCCACCAAGTGAATTTGATATTTATAGTTTACCTCAGGTAAGTGAAAATCTCATGCTATATTGCTGGGTTACAGGAACAGCAGCGCAGATGGTGGTCAACTTCTGATATATTGACACTCACAGGGCTATGTAAATGAAATTACATATCTCAGTTCTAGTATTAGCGTCCAAATACATCATGCAGGGTTGAAAAAATAGGATCATTGGTCCCGAATATCAACATCAGAGTGAAATCAAAATAAATAAAACTGCACTGTCAGCAGATGCATTATGTATATCCTCAGTCTCTTAATCAGCTGTGAACCCATGCATTGAAGTCAATAAAATATCAACCCTAACCATTCCGGTTGCAGTACACCAACTATGCACTTATCAAATGCAAGCTACCTTCAACCTAGACGCAATTTAGGCAGTAGATTGTTGTTTCATTCTACCGGAATACAACATTCAAAGCAATGCGACACTTTGTCACAGTAATACACTTTAAACTGTAATTCAAGTGCCGTTATAATCGTGGATACAAGCAGAAATATTCCATGTTATGCACCCTGCGGTCCCAGCTGATGACAAAAATTTCCTCCCCTAAAATACATGACCATTACATATAGTGAAAAGAATTAACATCATGCATACATACTCCCACACCATCTGCATCGCAGTAAAACCCACTTGTAACTCGGGGTTTTCATTTTTCCAGCTTCACGAATGCTTAGCTCAGGTAGTGACAGAAAATCTCCACATAAAAAGATGGCTGTTTAAAATGGACAACGAATTTGGAGGCCGTGGGACAGGTACGGATATATGCTGAACTGAGTTTCATTCTCAGAATAATTCTTGGTTTAAATTAGGTTTCATTCTGAAGTAACACTGGACCAATAAGACGATGTTCTTACCGGACCTCTTGCGTGAACTACAGTTAAAAAATAAAAGAGCTATTTAGTACAACTAAAGTCAGTTTAGTTTTCTATTATTTTCTAACAATTTTCAAGGCTCATTTCCACTAAAGAAAATTTTCCACGGACAGAAAATTTTCCGAATATATCATTGTTAAAATACTTTTCTGTCTGTGGCGTTATATGTACTCAGTTCCAAAATATCACCAAATTGAACCGACTTGATCTCGTAGCTCATTTGGTAGAGCATTGGACTAGTATCCCAAAGGTCGCGGGTTCCATTCCCACCGTGGTCAGGCAAACTTTTCAGCCTGCCCGGTGTGGATGCACACTCAGAGTGTGCATGCGTGTGCACACCACAAACATCATTGTTAAAAGTTAAAAATTTATTCCCGACAGAAAATTTGTGTTGGCCAATCACATTTAACAAAATTTTCTTTCTATGGAAAATTTTCTTGAGTGGCAATGGGCCAGTTCTAACCATCACGTCTTCTTTATTTCAGCATACTGCGACGTAACGCCATATCTGAGTTGTTATGCCGCCGCATGGAAAGAATGCCAGAGATATGGAGAGAAATGGTCCAAGAAATGGGCTCATGAACCAATGCTCATTAGGATTGCTGCGGAAATTCCCACGATACTTGCCCAACATGGTTCACCTGTGTCTAAAGAAGGTTACACCACGTGGGAAAAGTTTCTAGAAGTCTTTCTACAACGAGGTATGAATAAAAGCCTTCCATTTGGTCATGCCAATTGCGGCTATATTAAAGTGGTCTGTGTATAATTATTATTATTTTCATTATTATTATAAAATATACATTAAGTAGCTTAGACAGCTAAGTTGCAATGTGATTCACAAGCTATAAATATATCTATATGATATATAATAATACAGTGTTAATATACTTTTAACTCAGTTCAACCGAGTGAAATGCAAAAAATAATCCCGATATTTACCCATAACCTATATATGGCGGTGTCCTAGTATATGTACATGAACTTGCGGTTCGAGCTCGACAACTGACCTTTGTAGCTCAGTTGGTTACACGGGTAAAAATTGATCAGGTTGTTCGGCGTTGTTCAAACAGGAGTGAACAATGTTGTGCTGCACCCCGTGAACAATATTGTTAACAAGTTGTTCAACCATCAGTACTGTTGCAAGTTGTTAACATGATTGTCAACAAGTT